GCCCGACATTGTTATATACAGAGGCATATAAATGTACAGAATTGTTAAAAGTGTGACGGGACACATTTTGCCTATAATTTGTTATGGTCACTGTGAGTCAAGTTTTGTTGCGGAAAGTTTTACAATTTAAAAAAAAAAATTGTGTTCGATGTGCACATAAGCATGATAAGAAAAACAAGCTACACATTTGATAAACTCTTTACTTTAAAACAAACATTTCGGCTTTCAATACAGAAAATAATACTCTATTCTTTGTACATTCTCTTGCATACAGTAATACGATTGTAATGTTGAGTACATTGCCTGATTCCCTTTTGTTGTGCGCAGAAATTATTTTTTTTTAGCTGTGCGCACCTTTTCCTCTTTGTGTCTGCGCGCGCCAATTTAAATTTTAAATATTTAAAATCCCGAAGAGTCTTGACTCAGGAATAAGCACGATTGGAAGACTTTAAAATTAAATCGACAGGCCTGTACTAGAGCAGCTGAGCCATTCATTATCAAATAAAATTAAAGCACTTTAAATATTTTTAAGTACTATTAAAAAAAAAAAGTTCTCACATTTTTATTTCAAAAAAATAAATATTTTTTTTTTGCGTTGTTTTCTCCAGGCTTGAAAAAATGTGTCCGGCACCGAGTATTGTCGTACGTTAAGTATATGCGGAATAAAACTTAAATATTTTAACATCAAATTGTCCTTTAGAGTAACCTTATTCTTCTTTTTACATCATACGCTGTTACTCCAACATGTGACGAACAACTGTGCAACTACGCACAGAGCCATTACATATTAATTTAAGACAACAATGTAGATTGCCCCCCCCACACCCCTTATGATTGCCCTTATTTCCACCTATTGTGCTTGATGGTCGGGGTAACGAACCCGTAAACGGTCCACACAAGCGTTAAAGACGTCAAAAATCATTTGACAAATCCATCATTTGGCGCTATTACAGCCTGGGGTGCGCCCCTGCCCGGCTTGCACGTCGGTAATAGCAGGGAACAGCCACGGCTGTTGGGGTTTTACCTGCGTGAGGAAAGGGGGTGGGGGTGGGGATACATTCTACGAAAGTTTTCCCTTTCAGGTGAGCCAGAGCTGGGGGCAACGTGAGCCCCTGTTGTCGGGGGGCCTGATGAAACATGGGCCCTGTCCCGTCCTGAGGTTTGATCTGATGGATGAGAACACGTGGCCACCACGGGGTGTTGTAAGAAATAAGGAATACCTGGCCATTTTGCGCCAATGTGGCAATTAGAAATACTATACCTCTTCAGTTTTTTTTTTGTTTTTTTTATTTAAAAAAAAGGAGGTTGTGGATGTGAGAGACTGCAACTACAGTGTATTGCAATGGCGTAACTAGCGCTCAGGATTGTTGTGAGGGGGAACCAGCGACGCCCCTTGTGTTTTTTCAGGGGGAGGGGGGCAAAACAATATCTTGGCCGGCTTGTTGAGTTGTACATTACTGGAGACACCACAGAACATTGCAATTTAAATAAAACCTGCAAATTCGGGGGGGGGGGGGGGGGGGGCGAAAGGCCACCCTTGGAACCCCCCCCCTGCCCTATCCAAATGACGTCCTGTTGAAAACCCTACGCATTTGAAGAGCCCTTGTAAACGGAAACAGATCACATTGATCCATTTCAATATGACGATTTTAGTTACTTCTTTTTCTGTAATATTAAGTTATATTTTCAAGTTATTACTTACCATTTACAAAAAAAAATTTAAAAAAATTAACACACTAAAAAGCCGGCCTTGAAATATTCATGCAACTACTCTATAAATAAGAATGCCAATACAGTACACGTGTAACAATTTTTAAGGATAACAACAATTTTACCTAAATTATCAAATTTCTTACAGTCTTATAACAAAGGGATTCTGTATTATTTTGACCCGGGAAAGGTGGGGGGGGGTGGGGGTTGAGGTTGTGGCAGACTGACACGCCTTTGCACCAATATTATTTGCATGACAGTGGCTCGAGTAGAAGGCACAAGGCTTGTGTTGACCTATCTACTAGTGCTGTGTAATAGTGTACAGTGTACACCCTCCGATGTCGTAGTATTCACCTTTCTGTTTCTAGCAGAACTGAAAAAGCCATGTAACGCAATAACCAAAGTGTTTGAAATGTTTGTTTTTTTAAATTTAAAATTTTCAAAGTGTGACATGTAAACGTACACCACGCGTTCAACACTTCGGTATGTTGTTTGACATTTTCGGAATATTACATTCGTTGACTCACCACCTGAAATGATGGCGCTTATCCCACATGATATATTGCCCCCTATCATGTGTCCGTCCCCCCCCCCGGCGCGAGGCAAAAATAGCTGTCCATTCACTACGACTAAATGATCTTTTTGATGTTTTGGTGCCGTGTTTAAGTCTGTTATTGTTCAAACTATTTCGGGACTTCCTTGTCAACTGACAGTGTTGTACAACACGTCTACAGGGCCGTGGAAGGCAAAAGCTGGGTCTGAGGCATGGTCTTACTTTAGGCGCCCCCTTCCCAAAAAGTATATATATTAATACACATTTTTTGCATGTAAAAATAACGCTATCGGCGCCCTCTCAGGAAGGTGCACAGAGCATAATTTGTAGGTGTTTTTATTTTGTGTATGCACATGAACTTGGAACTAGGAAAGCACACATAGGACATTATTGGTTTATAGAAACTTAGAATATAAGTATTAGACTGAAAAGTTATTCAATTCTTGTGTGGGCTGTCTCTACCATGCATCCCAATTCCTTTATACTTCACAAACTACTTCATCTCTTCATCCATATTATTTCTCTCTGTTTTAATTCATTATCCCTCTCGTTATGACTCCATCGCTGTGTTTTTGCCACCAAAATGAGCATCTCTTCCGGGGAGAACTTTCGCAAAAGCAGGAGTTCTTAACCTTTTTGTGGCGGGGCACACCCACTGGATCTCAAAACACCTCCCTCCCCAACCCCGGGTAAAAGCTGCAAATGAAAATTAAAATTGTGGGGTGTTCCCGCAGCACCTGATACTGCAACCCGTACCACCCCCCCCCCAAGTGGTGCGGGAACCCCTGGTTAAAAACATTGTGTTTCTCTTTCTTTCTTTGCCTGTGCAAACTTATATTTTCTTTCATAGATCGG